CGGGTCGAACAACCGAGACATATCACCACATCATCACGAACTCTGGGGCCAGAGTAACAATGAGGCCCTATCGGGTGCCAGCAGCAAAAAGGGAGGAAATAAAAGCAGAAGTAAAAAAAATGCTGGAGTTGGGGATCATCGAAGAATCCCACAGTCAGTGGTCCAGCCCAATCGTGCTGGTGCCCAAACCTGATGGCACCACAAGATTTTGCAACGACTTCCGGTGACTAAACGAAGTATCCCAGTTCGACACGTACCCCATACCTCGCATAGATGAGCTAGTGGACCGTCTGGGTAATGCCCGGTACTTGACTACCCTAGACTTGACAAAGGGGTACTGGCAGATTCCCCTTGCAGAAGACGCAAAGGAAAAGACTGCGTTCTCTACACCAGAGGGTCTTTTTCAATATACTGTCCTCCCTTTTGGACTACATGGGGCCCCAGCTACCTTCCAGCGCCTCATGGACAAGCTATTACACCCGCATAACGGTTATGCTGCTGCCTACTTGGACGATGTGGTCATTCATACCCCAGACTGGAAAACCCACCTGGAGAAGGTGGAGGCAGTCCTCGATACCTTCAGGCGAGCTGGCCTTACAGCAAACCCTGCCAAGTGTGCTGTAGGGTTTACAGAGGCCAAATATCTTGGCTACATTGTGGGGAAAGGTCTGGTAAAACCCCCAGTGAACAAGTTAGAGGCCATCCAAAATTGGCCCCGACCAAGTCGCAAGAAACAAGTCCGGGCGTTCCTAGGTGTGGTGGGGTATTACCGACGATTTATCCCCCACTTTGCCACAAGGGCAAGCCCCCTGACAGACCTAGTGAAAGCCCGTGGACCTGATCTGGTGAGATGGTCTGACACAGCAGAGGAAGCATTCACAGACCTACGGACTGCCCTCTGCAGTAACCCCGTACTGATAGCCCCTGATTTCACCACGGAGTTTATCCTGCAGACGGATGCATCGGAAGTAGGGTTGGGGGCCGTTCTATCACAGATGGTCGGGGTGGAGGAACACCCAATTCTATACCTCAGTCGGAAACTCCTTCCAAGGGAACAAAAATATGCAGTGGTGGAGAGAGAATGCCTTGCTGTAAAATGGGCCATGGAAACATTGCGCTACTACCTGCTCGGGCGCAGATTTGTCCTCGTGACCGACCATGCCCCTCTTCAATGGATGCAGCAGAACAAAGAGAACACCACAAGGGTGACCAGATGGTTCTTATCCCTCCAACCTTTCCAGTTCCATGTGCAACACAGAGCAGGGAACCGTCATGGCAACGCCGATGACTTGTCACGTGTGCACTGTCTGGCGTCCCAAGCTGCCCAACCCCTTGGCGTTGAGCAGGAGGGAGGGATATGTGACAGAACCAGACCAGTGGGGTACAGGAGTCTGGTAGAAGGCAAATATACTGGTGCCTGGATGAGTAGTTTTCTGTTCCCTGAGTGACCAGAGCAGGGGCTGCACTAGAGTAATGAGGAATCTGCTAAAACCAGTTAAGGCAGGCAGGCTAATTAGGACACCTGGAATCAAATAAGCAGAAGCTGCTAGAATCAATTAAAGCAGGCTAATCAGGGCACCTGGCTTTAAAAAGGAGCTCACTTCAGTTTGTGGTGTGAGTGTGAGGAGCTGGGAGCAAGAGGCGCAAGGAGCTGAGAGTGAGAGGGTGTGCTGCTGGAAGACTGAGGAGCACAAGCGTTATCAGACACCAGGAGGAAGGTCCTGTGGTGAGACTACGGAAGGTGTTTGGAGGAGGCCATGGGGAAGTAGCCCAGGGAGTTGTAACTATCATGCAGCTGTTACAGGAGGCACTATAGACAGCTGCAGTCCACAGAGCCCTGGGCTGGAACCCGGAGTAGAGGGCGGGCCCAGGTTCCCTCCAAACCTCCCAATTGACCTGGACTGTGGGTTCTTCCAGAGGGGAAGGTCTCTGGGCTGTTCCCCAACCCACATGGTGAATCTCTGAGGCAAGAAAATCCGCCAATAAGCGCAGGACCCACCAAAATAGAGGAGGAACCTTGTCACAAAAGGTCTTGGAATTATAGTTTTCAGAGAACTATCTACATCTGCTCAATGTGCAGGTGGCAGCCAAAAAAACTAACAGTTAGGAACCATTAGGAAGAGATATATAATCAGACAGAAAATATCATAATGCCTCTATAAAAGTCCTTGGTATGCCCACACCTTGATTACTGTATGCAGTTCTGGTCACACCATCTCAAAAAAAGATATATTAAAATTGGAAAAGGTGCAGAGAAGGGCAACTAAAATGATTAGGCATATGGAACAGGTTCCATATGTGGAGAGATTTAAAAAACTGGAACTGTTCAGTTTAGAAAAGAGACAACTAAGGGGGGAAATGATAGAGGTCTATAAAATCATGAATGGTGTGGAGTGAATAGGGAACTGTTATTCACACGTTCACATAACACAAGAACCTGAAATAATTAATAGGCAGAGGTTTAAAACAAACATCAGGAAGTATTTCTTCAAACAATATACAGTCAACCTGGGGAACTCATTGCCAGGGGATGTTGTGAAGGCCAAAAGTATAATTGAGTTCAAAAACAAATTAGATAAGTTCATGGAAGATAGGTCAATCAGTGACTATTAGCCAAGATGGTCAGGAACATAACTGCATACTTTGAGTGTCCCTAAACCTCTGACTGATAGACGCTAGGACTGGACAACATAGTATAGATCCCTTGATAAATTGCCCTGTTCTGTTTATTCCTTCTGATGTATCTGGCCACTGTTGGAAGACAGAATATTGGGCTAGATCAGGGGTGGTCAAACTATGGCCCACAGGCTGGATCCGGCTCCTCAGGGCTTTGGATCCGGCCCGCGGGATTGCCCCCCGTGGCACCGTGGGCCCTGCACCGCTCTCAGAAGTGTCCAGCACCACGTCCCTGCGGCCCCCGGGCGGGGGGGCAGAGGGCTCCATGCGTTGCCCTTGCCTCCAGGCACCGCCCCTGCAGCTCCCATTGGCCGGGAACGGGGAACCACGGCCAATGGAAGCTTCGGCGGAGGTACCTGGAAGTGCGGCAAGGGCAGAGCACACGGAGCCCTCCGTCCCCCCTCCCCCAGGGGCCGCAGTGCATCCTGGAGCGGCGCAGGGCCAGGGACAGGGCAGGCATGCAGGGAGCCTGCCCTGGCCCCGGTGCGCGCCGCTGCCACCCCGGAGCCACTTTAGGTAAGCGGTGCTGGGCCGGAGCCCGAACCTCTCCTGCACCCCGCCCCCCAACTCCCTGCCCTGAGCCCCCTGCCGCACCCCACACCTCTTCTGCACCCCAACCCCCTGCCCTGAGCCCCCTCCCGCAGTCCGCACCCCTCCTGCACCCGGCACCCCAATCCCCTTCCCTGAGCCCTCTCATACACCCTGCACCCCTCCTCTGCCCCAATCCCTTGCCCTGAGCCCCCTCCTGCACACCGCACTCCCTCCCGCACCCCAACCCCCTGCCCCAGCCCTGCATACAATTTCCCCACCCAGATGTGGCCCTCGGCCCAAAAGGTTTGCCCACCCCTGGGCTAGATGGACCATTGGTCTGACTCAGTAAGGCCATTCTTATGTTCTTACCACAACCAGGAGTCAAATCTTCTGTTCCCAGCTCTGTCAGTGGTTTATTGTGACTTTTGATAAATCATACAGGACAAATTTTCACAAATGTCTGCTAGTTTCAAAAATCTTAGATTTTTGGTGCCTAACTTGAAACACTTAAGATGTGGTTTTCAGAGAGAACAAACCACCATAACTCCCACAAAAGACAGCGTTAACTGTGGGTGCTCAGGATTTCAATTCCGTATGAATGTAATGTGAAGGTTTCAGAAAGCCATCCAGGCTTTGGACCCATTTCTTGACAAAACAAGGGTTCACAGCAGCTGTAGCATGGTATCCCTTCTGCTACTCCTGAGTGGGTCTCCTCCCAGATGCATAATCTTTTCAGCTGTTACACCATGATTGGGGAAGGTGAAAAGTGAGAGAAGTAGCCCTAAAAAAATATCAGTCCCCTGAGAGAGAAAGGAGACAGAGACATTGCTCACTGCTGTTCAAAACTGAGCTACAAAATCTAGGATTATATTGGATAAGATGGAAGCACTGAATCACACCTTTCTTTATGCCGATGGAGGCAAAAAAAATCTGACAAGGGAAGAAGGGGATGGAAAAGTCTGAACTGCCTCCAATCTGCACGAAGAACAGCATAGCCCAAATGTCTTGGACTGGAAGAGAGAGGTCGGGACCCAGAAAGCAGGAATAAAGAAGCAACAGAAGTTGGTTTAAATAACAAACAAACAAAAAAACACACCTATGAAAAGTGGAAGTGCAAAGAAAGTAAATGCATTTCTGAGCAGATGAAATGGGAAGAACAGGGCAGAGGCGTTACCGTAAAATGTACAGGGCAACAAAGAAGAGGAAGAAAAATTACTATCTTCTCATGCTCCTATATGTCTGTTGGTCTATAAGGTGCCACAGGACTCTTTGCTGCTTTTACAGATCCAGACTAACACGGCTACCCCTTTGATACTATCTTTGTGATGTTTACATTAACCTTTCTAGAGACTTATATAGTAGCACCTAGGATACTCTGGGACTTTGCAAAAATTTAAGCTTATTACGGTAATGGTGGCATTAACTATCTGTTTTGTTTATAAAGCAGTAATAACTGGAATAAGAAAAAAATGTACATACAGTTTCAATTAAAGACATTCAACTACTTTTTTCAGCTGTCATTCTGGCAACGCATATTACAAATGCAAAATAAAAATCCTCAGAAACAGCAGTCTAAATACATTTTTAAAGATTCGTATATTTGGCATTAAATTTAAAATACAGCTGCCCTTTAAAATGAGACTGCCTCTGATGACAGTGAAATGATTATTCCTATGCCAAAGTAAAAGCATATATTTTTGTGTATAGATGCACTGAACTCATTAGGAGACTTAGAATAAGTGAAACACTAAGATACTTCACTAAAACTGAAGTGTTCTGTGAAGATCACTTACAAACAATCTTCCGTGGCACCATTCCATTATCCATTTGAAGTCTGTCTTCCATGAATGCTATTCCAAGGTTACTGAAGTTATCCACACTTGCTTCAGCAATTAGTTTATAAGGTTCTCCAGGTTTATAGGCCAATGGTGAACAATAGTCTGACCACTTTACAACCTAAGAAGATAAAAAACAACATATTTTCCCGTTCTAAAGAGAGATCAATTAAAAAATACAATTCCATGAACATGCATTACTAAACAAAGGTGACATTTCTACCCTGAAGAGTTTACAGTCTAAAAAGAGACAAACAGGCAGAACCAACACAGAGAATATTAACTTAAACATAAATAATAAAGTTAGCACAATTCAAACACTGGGTGACAAACATCAGTTCAAAAAGGACTGATTTTTAAAAATAAATTCTGTATCCCAAGGGAGATCACTGAATATATCATTTTCAAAACCAGTTTCCTTAAACCCATGTTGTCTTTAAAAAAAAAACAAAAAACAAAAGTAACCACTGCAATTAATTTTACCCGGGAATAATACATCCCAGATAGAGTTCCCAATTCCAATTGACATTTCTGCACATAGTGCATCCTCTGGCTAAGAATGTCAGTACATAAACTCAAGTACACCCAAAACAACCTTATCAAAGAAGGGTCATGTTTTGTACGAACTATCAGGTGCTACATAACTTCCATTCAGTCTTGACAAAGGTAAACAAGAGCACTTCTAAACAGTTTTGAGAAGAAAGAAGAGTGCAACAAATACTTCTTTCCCAGAGATCAAAGCTTCGGAAATCCTGGCTAGCACACACTAAAGGATTTTCTATAGTAAGCAGCATGGAAAGCATTGTATTCTACAACTGAAGCTCTTCACTTGCTCTAACACTTAAATACACCACTGACATGCCTTTCAAATACAAAAATTACATAAAGGATTCAGGGGCAAGAAGCAAAAGTAAGCCACTTGGATTAAATTAGTCAGCAAGTCATTTTATAAACTTTTGAAAAATCTCCCTATCAAGAGCAGAAAAATTCTAACACACAAAAGACCCAAGATCTACATCAGTTTCAAGCCTATTTTATTCTTAAGATAAAAGCACTACAGAGAAAACATATGAAAGCCAGTAAGAGACCCTACATACATGCTAATAAGTTTACCAGAGTTCACTCCAACCCTAACATGGGCTCTGTCAGGAGCAGTCCTTCAAACCCCTACGCATCAGGTTTCCTTGTGTTTTCAAGTTCATCACTGCTTAAGCTCAGCACCAGTATAGTTTTAAGGGGCCTCAGTAGGCCCATTCTTTCCAAACTCTTCCCTAAAGAGTGAGGCCCTCCATAGACCAGGGGTCCTGTCTGTTTGCTGGATCAGGAAAAAGGTCCTGAACCTGTTTACAACTAGGCTATTTATCCAAAAATCTGTTTTTTGCCTGTTGGTCCCTGTAGAATCCAGTTTGAACTAATATATGCAAATCTCCCCAGAGTTTGGCTTCAAAGGGCTGATAACCAGCAGAATTATATTAGCATTCCCCTCCCCCTAAAAGAGTTACATAAAACTCTAAAATAACACATATGCAATTGCATTTTTAACACAATGGACCCCAAAGATATTTAACCTAATTCAATAAAGTTTATCTTAATTCCATAAGGTTTGTCTTTATCACAGGATATTGTCTGTCACATTTCTAATACTACTACTTTATATTTTAGTGTCTTCTATCCCTGGAGGACCTCAAAGCACGTTATAAACATTACAAATTTAGCTTCACTACTTTACTCATCTATCTCACAAAGGGCATTAGGGTGGAAGCCTGACTGGAGACAGGAGCCCTGGTGTGTGGTAGCCTGCCTTAAACCATTGAGTAAGAGAAGGCGTGTGCCAGATCCTAGGGTTGATTGAGGCCCAGAAGCCACTAGTTAGGAGGATGGGAAGTGAAGTGAACCCACCCATTACTGATGAGCTCACCGTCAGGTAGGAGGAGCTGCCCATAGTGGTAAAGGGAGAGCAGCATCTGAGGGGCCCAGACCACACAGGCAGGAAGTAGTGGAGAAGCTTCTGGGAATCTGTGCTGCTCTGAGTGAATAAGCAGAAGCTTCCTCAATGCAGTAATAATGCTCTGTAACCTTGGGGAGTCTGGAGATTTGGAATGGCAAAAGTAGTGAACCTTGGAGTTTGAATCTACTGGATGAGGTGAAGACTGTGGAGATAAGAGTTTCAGTGAGGAATCTCCCTCCCTGGGAGCTCTGCAGGTAATAATATCTATGTTGGACTGAGGTGTGATTGGTATGGAGTCTCTCTTTCCTAGTGAGAATTCATGAAGTTTCAACTGAACTTTGAAGTTGAGAGTTGGTTGGCATTGATGAATCTGGAGAGCAGCTCACCCTCTCCGCTTTGTAGACAGCTGCAATATCACAGCAGTGATCACTTAGCGGCAAACGAGATGGAGTGAGCTGGGAAGGAGTCCTCTCTCCCACTTTTTTGAGAATAGCAGGATGGCCCCAATTTGAAGACAGAGCGCTCTACTCCACCCTTCCCTCAGTTGTGTGTGGTCCTGCAGTGTGTAGGCATTTGCCTTGGAGATTGTTTGAGGAACCCCATATTAACGATAAAGCCTGGACAGCACATTTTGGCCAGGTCTTTAATGACTCCCCTCAACCAGCTTTTTTTTTTTAAACTTAATTCTACTATAGTAGATGAAATGAGAAATCCTCTCTCTGATTTACTACTCTGGGCTTCAGTAGCAGACAGTGAAATCCAGTCTTTTATTTTAGCCCAATGACAGAAAACAGCTCCAGAGGAAGATGATCTCCCCACTGAAGTCCTTCAGCAGACTCCTGATTGGTGGTCTTCAGTCTCAGCTAAATTATTGATTATCATTAATCACACTGGAAGGATTCTGGCTGGCTGGCAGTTTAGCATCATAGTTCCTATTTTTTAAAAAAGAGAACAGAAAGAATCCTGCTTCATATAGACCTATTGATCTGTTAGATGTGGCAGGGAAAATTTATTCTAGATATTTACTATCCAAACATGAAAATATGGGCTATAGAGGCTGGTTTACTACATGAAGAAGAGTCCAGCTTCACGGCTGGTAGAGCCAGAATTGATAATTGTTTTATTCTAGCCTATATTATTTATAGCTATACTGTGGTTGAGGGCACTAACTTGCCACTTTCATAGATCTAAAGATGGCATTTGATTCTATTAACCAAGACAATCTTTGGGTGAAATTAAGAATGATGGCTGTTCACTTCTCCCAAGCGCCAAAGCATGCACTGCTACGCCCAGTCTTTTCAAGGAGGTTTATTTCTTAAATGCAGGTTATCAAACAAACATCCTTCTTTCCTAATAGAACTGAGGGAGGGCACACAGACCCAAAGGCACCACCAATGAAGTCCAAGTGGGGCGCTACCATTCATGTTACATGGCTTCACCATACCTGGAGGGGAACAAATTTCTCCCAAAATCTAGTACTGAAGTGTTTAGCTCCCTTACAACTTTAACAGACCACAATAACCAGATGGCCAGCTTTATCAGGCGGTTTGTTACCTACTCTCTCTCTTCCTATTTTAAAACTATTGCTTTTACAATTACCATCCACCAGCCCATTTAAGAGCATTGCTGAGAACTAATGGTCTTAGTAAAATGCCTCTGATATTTATCCTGAAATATAATACAGTGCTGCTCCAGACATAGACACAGTAGTGGTGGGCTATAAATCCAATGAATAAGAATAGGTATGATAATCTGGATGGAAGTTATATTTTGTCCCTTATCACACTATTTCTATATCCACCTATCATGTGATAAAACTTTTTTTAATTTCAAAATGTATTAAATAGTTTAAACACACTTTGTCAGAACTACTTTGTTTAAAAAATGAACAGAACTACTCACCTTTTTTGAGAAGCTAGTCTGTAAATCATCTGCCTGGGCAGAAACACTTTCAGTCACAAATGCTATATGGTCTGCATCAAGTATTTTATCAGAATAAATAAAAGGAGATATGAGAAGTAGAGTCCATTTGTTTAAGTCATCCAGGGACTAAAAGAAATAGGAAACAAAGAAGCATCAATATATTTTGGAAATTGCTTTGAAGTATCTTTATATTCCTTAATTAGCAAGTATTTCGCTTTTAAGATTTCACCAGTTACAGTAATTTTCCAGTAACTTACCTATTTAACAGCTAACCCACTGCTTATATGGCTGGCTCTTTTTGTATCAACACATCTTTAAAGCCAAACTATTATTTTCCTGTTACATAGGGAGGTAGTAACAAAAAGTAAGCAGGGCAAGGCAAGCCAAGCCAGGTAATGAAACCAAGAGGTCAAGGTTGGCTAGACCATGGGAAAATTGGGAAGCTTCCTTTTTAATTTATGCAGGTGTTGTTGCAGATGCAGAATCCCAGCTTTAATCAAATATATGTATATAATCATGTAGGCATATCATATAATGGTTTAATTACAATGAACTGTTTAGGTTGAAGGCTGCAGGGCAAGGTAGGATTAGGTGGGACATACTTACTGCATCATATGCTGTGGTTAGAGTAGGTAACATCAGGGGGCCTGTGTTCAAACTGAAAGCAGTCTGTTCATTCCTCAGCAATCCTGGCAGAAGCCAGATGCACGTAATGACATTTGCTGGGCATTGAACAAAGGTGGGTGTTTTTGGAGTATATAAAAATGTAGACATGCTTGCAAAGTGTGCTATAGGTCACATTAGCAATTTGTGTACTGTCAGTGGTTGGGGAAGACTGTAGCATGATAACAGTTTGCAGGAGGTGGTAAATCAGGTCTCTCCCACAGGCCCCTAGGTACAGAAACAGGGTCTGGGGTTAAAAGTGCAGAAAGGGGGGAGCAAGCTGAAAGTGGAGGGCTGGCCAAAAGCCTCATCTCTGGTTAAGCTTGGGGTTTTAAGGGTTCTCCTTTGGAATTAACCTAACAAGACAGATAGGACATATTTATGGGAAGGGTTTACGTCAGGGTTCAGAATCCCCTATATAGTGGAAAGAAATCATGTCGTCCAAAAATTTGAAATCCTTAGTGGGGTTAGGTTATGTTGTAAAGAAAAAGATTGCACAAGAACTGAAGGCTAGTAGAATAGCCGGGCCATTCACGCATTTACCTATAAAGAACTTGTGGGTGTCTCCCCTGGGCTTGGTCCCTAAGAAAGCCCCGGATGAGTATCGATTGATACCTTGCCATACCCACAGGGCAGCTTAGTTAATGATGCAACAGACCCAAACGGACGCTGCTAGCACTCTGGAACCTTGATATCTGATGCCATTATTGCAGAGATTGGTGGCATCATGAACATTTTGTGCAATTTAGAAGAGGGTGCGCCTGTCCATGATGTGGCTGATTCCAGAGGACCAGGTGTTTCAATACACAGTGGCATTGGCAACACAGAGACTGCCATCATCAACCATCTCCCAGTTGCCTATTGGTTCTTACAGTTGTCAGTAGGTCTCATGGTTACCCTGATCCTTGCAGCGGGTTTTTAGTTCGGAGGTATATAATGGGGCAGTCACAAAGCATAGCCCTTACAGGTGATACACATTGTTCCATCACTGTTAATAGGCTTAGGGATTTGGTGCAAATTCTGGAGCACGTCATTGTGGACAAGAGGTGGCCTTGTTCAGGGCTGCATTCCTCATAGCATATTTGGGGCTTTTAGGATCAGCGAACTAGGGGTTGGGTCACAGATACTTCAGGAACGGCTTTGGAGTTGATGGATTGAACCTTGAGGCTGTCAAAGACAGATCAGGGAGGTTGGGGTAAATACATTATGCTTCAAGAAGGCAGTGATGTCAGGATCTGCCCTGTGAGGGCATATATGAAATAACACCAGTTTATTCATGGAGAGACAAGCCTCCTAACAACATCTCAGTTTGTTACAATTTTCAGATCGGGGCTGATGAGGTTGGGGCTTCCAGTCCTCCATGAATTTGGTTCCCACTCATTCTGGATCAGGGCAGCAACACAGCTGGGTCTGGGGCAATTCAAGCAATTGGGCATCGGCACTCTAACGCATATAGGTTGTACATGAGACTACAGGTTGGGAATCAGGTATAATTTTCTCATGTTTCCTTTCAGACACATGCAGTCAGGCGAAGTAGAGGGTGGTGTGGATCTGAGGGCACAGTATTGTCTACTGGGCACATACACAGATTTCCGGGTTGCCTGGAGGTTCACAGATGAGCCTCAGTGACAAAGCAATCCAGAGCTGGCTGGCAGGATGGGCATGCTTTGGGACCAGCTGATGCTCGTTTCATACTCTGTGGTGGCCCACAAGCAGGCACTGGATGCGACTGAGGTTCATCTTGGGGACAACAATTTGGGAATGTGCAGAGGGGTAGACTTGATGCTCAAAGCCAAGAGGGACTTGGGGACGATGGCTAGAACTTTTCCCAGGAGTCCAACTTATTTGGTCTGACATGTTGCTACACAAAGTATGGTGGGGAGCCTTGGAGCCCCCAAAGGTCAACAAGAGTAGGACGTATGTTAACAGGGAGGTGGCCAAGTTTATATGTAATCAATGGTGGTTGGCAGTTCCTCATCCAGACATAGCCTATGGGGCACCAGAGTTATTCAGAGAGATTGGGATACCTCTTTCCAACTGGGGAGTGGAGATATTTTTGGCTGATATTAAAGAAGGCACCAGTAAATGGCTAGGAACTTGATTAGGTATGGTGTGGAAGCAACCAAGCTAATTGCTGGCGCCTCCTTGTGGCAGATGTCCAGTGTAGGTACACCAGTGGGAATGGACATCGATTGGATAAAAAATTGATAGGTAAAGGTTTTAAAGGAGGTATACTTTAGAGGAGGGGGAAAAAGGAGTTCAGGGCTCCTACAACGGGGAGTCAACCCCCTCCCCTCTTCCTGGTGCTCTTAACCATCACATGAAGGGTTGGTAGGGTCCCATCATCAAGATGGCTGGAACCAGAATGGAACAGGAAGAGGTATGACGGTAGCCCTAAAGTATAGGGAAATCATCTGAAATTACCTGTAGTGTACAATTTTATCTGCCAGGTACTCCCAGATATTTTAAGAACAAAGTTGCAGCCTAATTAAAAGCACATCCAGTCTCCCCATCCTTCTTCTAGCATAGCCAGACTGGCTCTTTTTATATCAACACATCTTTAAAAATTGCCAAACATGATTTTCCTGATGTGTCAATACTATGCTGTATCCTCTCTCCTTTCTTCATCACATGATTTCAGGTGCAACAATATTTAAAAATCCTACAACTTATTGAGAGCATGTTTATAAATATTGTAACTACATCCAGTAGCAGCAGCAAGCAATGTAGAAAAATGATTTGAAAGATCAGAACACTTAAGCAAACCATCTAATATTTGTTATTATTCTACCAAAAAAACATGTTTAAAATTTATTTGTGGCTGAATTAACTTTATTTTTTAGTTGTATTTTACAAAAACTATCATTAATATTTCAAAACTACACAGACCTTTCTTGGCACTAAACCACACTGGGAGCAAATCAGGTCAAACAAGGTGCTGTGAATCTTCATTAATTTCACACAATAGAGTAAGTGTGAATTTCCCTGACTCAGGCCTTAAGGGTGTACAATTGATCTGTATTCAAATGAAAATATGTCAACATTTTTAATTATTTGTCTAATGAAGAATTAACTGAAGGGACTGGTAATGGGTTACATCATCAAAGCCTGCCTGCTTTACTAAAGCAAGGTGCAGAGTCAATACAACTACTCTTTAAAGTCAACAGGAATTGGCTCATAAAGCTTTTCATTATCTTAAGCACCTGGTTTGATAAAGGTCAGAAGTAATCTTGAGAAGCTGCCATTTATGACCTTATGGTACCTTGTATTAAGGAAGCTACTGATCACAGTCCAGAGCCCAGTAGACAATCAACCCCATCACTGAAAGCCTCAGAGGAGTCAAAGGTAGGAGGACTGAACTACCCTCACCATAAGGTTCAGGACTATGTGGAGAACTCTGTATTGCTTCTGCCTATGATGTAACTATTGGAGAGAGGATAGAGACCAATATGTCACATCACCAGCACTTAAAAATCATGTAGAAAAAAACCAAGTGATCAGATTACAAAAAGCTCTCTCTTTAAGAGTGTTAAGTAATATTTGAATCCATTCTAAAGAGTACATTTAGAAATATTCATTTGTACTGTTGTAGCCCTCAAATTTTCAATCAGGTTTGAGGGCCCACTGTACAGACATGGGTAGAAACAGTTCCGTGTCCTGAAGATTGACAAGCTAATTAAAAGTCATAACTCTTTTGGAACTCTTAAAACTCAAAAATGGCCAGTAACTTTTAAAAACATTTTATATAAGAAAAGCACTTCTCTGGAAGGCTGACACCAAATTTCTGAACCTCTTAAAAAATTATAAATGCAAAAACGACACGCTTATAACACAGCCTGCATGAACAATACTACAGACACAAAAGCTATCTTTAATATTTAAGTACAGAAGAGCATCTGTGTTTCCAAAAACCAAACCAAAGAGGACAAAAATGACATTATTTAAGAGAAGCTTAATGTATGGTGCAAGTAAATCCAGAGTAAACCACACAGGACTTTTGTAAATCAACAGGCATAACTCCCATCACCTCTAGTCAAGTGGAGAATACGCTTTCTTGGAACCTGAACCAACTATATAACTTTCCTTAGATTCTGTCACCAGGGTTTTTGAAAGAGAAAAACAAGCATTAAGGCATCTGTTCACAAGCAAGGGAGCAAAGAAACAGACTGTTCTATGGACCAACTCAGTCAATATTTGGCAGCCTTTTCGTGGCTTACTGAAAACATTTCCTCTTTACCCATGTAATTTGAGGAAAGCTTTTCTGCTTCCTGAGAAGAGTACTTCATGCTGGAAGGGCATAACGAGTGGGGACCCACAGGGATCGGTCCTGGGTCCGGTTCTGTTCAATATCCTCATCAATGATTTAGATAATGGCATAGAGAGTACACTTATAAAGTTTGCAGACGATACCAAGGTGGGAGGAGTTGCAAGTGGTTTGGAAGATAGGATTAAAATTCAAAATG